GACATACCGGGAAAAAAACTCACTTCTGTTCATGTCTAGCGAGAAGACCATCACGAACCCATTTGTCGTATTCTTGAATGATTAATGTAGGAGTGGCCCCGTTATTGAATCATCCTCAAAGGGGTGTCTTTTTTGAAAAATGGGGGTCAACTTTACTGAGTTACCTGTTGTTCATTGAATTCGTGAATAGAGACTTTTAATTATAAAAACCATGGGAAAATAGATCATTAGTTTATAAAACACTAACCTGCGGAGTCGAAGTTAGACTCGTAAGGCGAAGAATACCATCTACTTGGTCACCGATTCCTATGAGATGGTACTGGGGTTGATTCAACTTTTTGCACCGTTGTGTATCACAATTCTAGTTTTTGGAATTTGACTGGGAAGAAACTTATCGTCCAGCTCAAATTGAGATACATAGTAATCTGTAGATACACCCTCTTGAACTGTAGGTGGCATGTTGCACGGCACCTCTGATGTAGTATTTCCCTCCACTCTTGACTCCACACATAGAGCATTAACCACTGTATTCTGTTAGACTTATGCATCATTGTTAATTTAGTAAATGATTGTATGAATACACTTAAATACATATAAATACAATAAGGAAGCTGAATTTGGTAAGGGAAAACTCAGTTAAATACATCACACACATTCAAGAATAACAAATCTGAATACATTAAATACGGCTGAATACATTTAAATACAGCAGTTAATTCCAACTACATATTAATGTTAAAATACATCTGAATACATTTAAGTACATGTTGTTATTCAATACTAATGAGGCAGTTAAATACCTAGTACTGATATACATCTGTTAGTTACAATTACGAGAACTTTTAAAATACATCTGAATACATTAAAAAACTGCAATTATTTAAGAATAATGATGCCATTTAGAATACATCTGAATATAGTAAAATACAGCTTAATCTTATACAAGTATCATGTTGTAATATATATGAATACATGTAGATACAACATGCGAAGAGCACAATAATAATGTAGAAATAAATTCAAGAAAATATAAATGCATATAGGATTAAGATTTTTAACAATATCGAATTATTCTGTATATAGTTGTATTTCACAATGTTACAAAATTATTTTATATATGATTAATCCGAATAATAGCAAACAGGAGATATAAACATATGCTAAAGATGTTAAAAATGTTAAACCTCAACATTATTCCCGACAACTGTGTCAGTCAGTCTGTGGCCTTTTGGAATATCTTGCAAGTTGGCATCATATGGCATTTCAATACCATCATCACGTCTCCCTATGGGTTCCTTTCTCTGGTGTAAACTTTCTTTTTGCTGATTGTCTTGAAGATGGTCAGAAAGCATCTTAAAGTTATCATTGATCAATGTTCTCAACTCGCCCACAACCTTAGCAAGACAGAAATAATTAGAAAATTGCGCCAAAAATATATGAATGGTAAGCACTAAACTGTAATGTTTAATATGTGGATAAAAACTCACGTATTCTTTGAATGAATTTAGGTCTTTCCTCAAAGAAGATACTTTATCATTTTTGGAATCTGCCAGCTGATTGTGATGCAAAACATTTTGTGCAATTTCAGATACACCAACAGGAGGAATCTTGGATTGATACTTTGTATTTGAGGGATGAATAACGTGTTCCTTGCGCTTTTTATGGGGCGGTGATGAAGATGGACCAACACTTGCAGCATGTTTCTTCTTACATTGAAGATCAGGTGTAGGAGAAAACTCATCCGAATCCTCTGCCGACTTGTCTGAATGAGTAGGAGTAGGATTGTTCTCAACAGCAACGCCTACTGGAGGAATTTGAATAACGGCAAGCTCTATATCGGTTGGATGGATGTCCTTGTAAACAATCTGAAAAACGAAATACAATCAAATTCTTACTACGAATAGATGTATGCAAATCTGGAATCAAACTGTAATTTGTATTCAAATGAAGGCAGCAGTAATGATTAGTAAATTATATGCAACTGTATGAAGCAGTAATAATGAAGGCGGCAGCAAATGTATTCAACTGTATGCATCTGTATGCAGCAATAACTGTATGCAAATGTATGCAGCATTAATGATTAGTAAATTGTAAACTAGCCACGATACAAATTGTATATTACCATATTTTCCTTGTCATTGAACATGCTGTTCATCAGATAAGCAAAGTTTGGATGATTTCCAGTGGTTCTCCAATTGAGTATTCTAGGGACCACGTTATCAACTCGGAGTGCAATTTTAGGATCAACATCTGAACAACACTTATAAAACTACACCTGCATAGCTAGGGGCATCCCAACTATCCTGTAATACTTCTTCTGAGCATCCATCTTCTTGCTAATAGATTTTGTCAGCGTTTCAAATGCTTTTAAACCCCATGGATATTCAGAATAGCGCCCACTCTCTACCAAGTCAAAATGTAGCCTTGGGATGGTTGTGCTGTTCTTCTCGGATGAAAAAATGAAGGTGTGTATGAAATACAACAAAGCTATCTTCAAGGCATCACCGTCGTTGTCGTGACCCCAGTTCTTGTCAGCAAAGCATTTCATCAAATGTTTCTTCTTGACAAGATTGGCACCTCCAAAGTAAGTCTCATAAGCCGGTTAGGAACCTTTTCACTGAACTCAAAATCAACATCGTTACCAACACATTTGAGGCCAGTCACAAGCGCAAACTCCCTTATTGAAAAATATAATGAAGTACCATTGACGTGTATTGCAAATACATTGTTAGGACTTCCTTCTAACTGGAGACCCATGAAGCATCTGAAGAGTTGATGTTGGACTTCACAATGCTTCATTTGAAGGAAATTTTCAAAACAAGTATTACCAGTTGTTTGTACTGCTCTGGAGTAAGATTCTCTTTTAGCTCGGAGACTATGTCAGTGTTAGTATATACACTGATATGCGGTGCAAATATTGGTTGTTTTTTACAAACAGCTTAATTCCCTGCATTTAACAAGAATAAATACATATAAATACAACTGAATACAACACATATTTCATAGTACAACTGACATGAATACATATGAATACAAGTAAATACACTGACAAGTATAAATACATATAAATACAACCGAATACAACACATATTTCATAGTACAACTGACATGAATACATATGAATACAACTAAATACACTGACAAGAAAAAATACATATAAATATAACTGAATACAACATATATTTCATAATACAACTAACAAGAATACATATGAATACAACTAAATACAGACTGAAAAATTAAACTGGAGTGAGATATCAGTGATAGAAATATATGTACTAATATAATACATACGCATACAACAAATAAATACATTGAAATTAGAATAAAACAGTGAAGAGAACTTTGAAAATCCTTATAAATACAACTATAATAATACATCAGAATACATATACATAGCTGAATCATTATTTTCTAAAAGTATAAAAATACATTGAATATCCTTTTTGAAGAGATAATTCAACAGGTTTATACATATAAATACAGATGAATACATCAATAATACAGATGAATACATCAGAAATTACCTTTTCTTCGAGTGTATCCGAGCTTTTACTTGCTTCAACCTCCTTCCCCTTGACAGATGAAGCTTCAGAAATATATTTTTTCCTCTTTTCCAGTATGGGAAGTCTTGTTTCCTTCAATGATTTCTCGACTTGGGTTTCTTTGAAGTTTTCATGTCGAGATTTTGTTCTCTTCTCCAATGCCATATTCTTGGCTAAACCTGCATCCATTTCCCCTTGAGTGATTTGCAAGGAAAAAGAGGGCCCATCGAAATTGAGAATTTTAGTGGGTATACTTCTAGTAATCAACTTGCGGGGTGTATTCTCAGACATTGTGAGAATACGCTGGGGTACTGTTGATTAGAGAAAATTTGGTGAGAAGAGATGTTGAGAATAAGCAAAAATGGCGAAAATCAAAAAAGTTAAATACTTACCACACTAATTATAGAAACAATTGAGTAAAATCTAGAGGAGACTAGGGTTTACCCGAGATTGGGGAAGGAGGAAGCAGCGGTGTGAGTGAGGAGGATTTTCTGATTTTGAGCGTGCTTACAGGGAATTGGAAAGAAAAATAAATTGTATCAAAATAGAGAGAGAGGGTGAACGTGTATTGAGAAATTGTATGAAAAACGGTAACTATGAGAGAGAAAAATCTGAGAATGGAGAGAGGAAAATAAAATATAGCATGTATAGTGGCTTAAGTGTAGGAGATAACCAAAATTAGAAATTTTGCTATAAACCATATAAGGTATCTATAGAATATAATTTATTTAAATGGTATTTATTTTAAATAAATAGGGGGTTAACCTTTGCTATAGGAGGTAAAAATTCCTAAAACCTACGCGGTCCACTTGACACCTATAATTTATTCTTTTATGGGTTGTTTGGTTTGTGGGACAGGAAAAGAGACTGTTTCCGATAGACCCTCAGCTAATAAGGGTAAAACGAGAAAAAAATAATCAATTTTGTGTTGAACTTCTAAAATAATAAATAATTTGAGACGACTATTTTTAGAAATTACGACAGATAATTTAAGAGGGGTGAGTATTATAAAAAAAATTGTGTTATTTGTGGAATATAAAGAAGTGCTATCATCGTCTTAAAATAATATTTAGAAAGTGCTCAACTGTGTAGTTTTTCCTACTTAGGGCTTGTTGGAAGGCCCTTCGCTGAAATGGAAATGATATTGTATACCCAATGTGAAAATAATAGCTATATACACACACACACTTTTGAGGCCACCAAATATAAATAATAGTTTGGAAAAATGACATTGTATATCCGTTCTCAAAATAATAGTCGAAAAATTATATATTATTTTGTATATTATTTGTGTATATATATATATATATATGTTATATATTAAAATTATATAAATTTTATGTACTTTTTCGGCTATAAAATATAAATAGTTTCTGGCGCGGGCTAAAAGGGAAAAAGATCCATGGGCTAAAAATGATATTTGCCCGCTGAAAATCCGAGACATTTCGACAGCCCAAACCCAACAGAGCTAACAGAACAAAGAGGCGAACAGAAAGAGAAGCGAATCAGAGGGAATTCAATCGGGAGAAAATGGAGGTGCCAGGATCATCGAAGAAGATGATAGCAACGCAAGCAGAGATGGTGGAAGCGAAAGTACCATTATCATACAGGGATCAGTGCGCCCATCTGTTGATCCCTCTTAACAAGTGCCGGCAGTCGGAGTTCTACTTGCCCTGGAAGTGCGAAGACGAGCGTCACTCGTACGAGAAGTGCGAGTATGAGCTTGTCATGGAACGGATGCTTCAAATGCAGAAGATCCGTCAGCAGCAAAAAGGACAGCAGTCAATTCCCCTTTTCCCTAAGACTGCCAATGCCTAGTCAATCCATCATCTATCTAATCGGTCAGTGCTTGCTTATTTGACCTACTGCTAATTTTATTTGAAACAAAAAGATATTGCCCTTTTCATTTACTTTTAAAATAAGATATGTTATGGCTTGTTCACTTTAGACTCCAACATATTGAGGTTTTATTTTCTCTTTTGCCAAAAAATATTTATTAGATTTCTTGATTTTTTTCTGTTATGACTTATACTGTCAAATTGTTGGGTAGCTCCTTGTTATTTGACTTTAGGTGGTAAGACATAGACTGACTTGGCTCTCCTATATCACTTACTTGAAATTACCTACAATGTTTAACTATAATTGTAAAGGATTTAAAGACAATCTAGTTACCCGGTACATGTTTTGGTGGGAGGTAGGAGGTGCACCTACAATAGTCGAGGTGCTAACAAGTTTTCCTGGATACCGTTGTCATCAGATAAAATGAAGGAGTTGCTGACGATTGATATAGGTAGTAATATTGGTGTACAAAATGTTATTGGTTCCATGTCTATGCCTTATTTGTGTAAAGTTGTCAGGCTCCACCGTTGTCCGCAAGTACATATTTGTATAAATTCGTTAGGCATCGCTGTCTCCAAGTACATGGTATGTTGCCAATCTACATATGAAATGAAAATCAGTTACAGCTTTAACCGATTTTGGGACATGTGGCATCAATAATAATCATGATTGTGTATCATTGGACTTGTACGTGCACGGTTATGGAATTGTGATTAATTACTTGTTAATTGCCAGAATTAACACAAGTATGATTTTTGCATACAAGTGCTTCATTGACTACTGCCTAATTGGATTAACTGAAAAAGACAACAGCTTATAGACTTCACTTGAGTTTAAAGCCTAAGAATATGGCTTCCCCCAAACTTCATTCAACTGATTGCGTGTTTTTAACCATACTCTAATGAATTGAGTTATTAACCTAGGGTGCCAGTTATAATGATAAGTACCCTTTTTGAGTTGTTATGACCCTATCTTCCTTAATTCATTCTTCACTCTTGTATGTGTATGAGAATAATGATAATGAAGGTGCATTAGTTTCCAGCCCTAACAATTGTTGCATAAGGCAGTGGTTGTCCATCTTAATTACAGACTAATTCAACTGTTGAGCTAAGTAATTTAACATTGCGATACTCAAGTCTAGTCAAACCTAGATTCTCTTTGTCAAGTTCGTCTTGGGTTACTAAATAAATCTAATTGGTTTCCTATTAATTAACGAATCGAGCACAAGATTGAATAAACTAAAACAAAATGAGGATCTTTAAGTTCTAATATGCGATAGTGATTTTGGGTAGTTTGGTTTATTGAGGGTAGTCTTACAACAGAAAACCTCAAGCCTAGTTCCCTTTCAACCCACCAATTTTCTCTTTTGGGTAAATACAAACCTCAACATCACAATATTATTTAAAATAGGATTGCAAATGGAATTTATCTGAACGTTTTCCAAGTTGAGCTTTTGCCATCATAGTTTGCTTTTTTATCGTTTGTGTTAATGGAATTAGGAATAGCAGTCAGCTGGCTGATGGTTAAAAAGATGTCTTGCGAGTTTGAATAGCTGGCAATGAGTTTGGATGTTAGTCTGTTGTAGCTTCATTTTGATATATTGTTCGAATGTAACAATTATGTAAGGAGGTAAAAAAGATAATGAAAAAAATCATGGATATGTTGATAGCTAAATTGGCAGGAGAAAAGAGAGAAAACCTTTACAAAAGGTTTAGTGCGAAAATAGGTCTGAAAAAGTTACAAAACATGAACATCATAGATGTGATATGGCAGTGTAGGAAATGCTTGAGTCATTTATTGAGTTGGAAAGTTTTAGTGCCAACAGCTCCCCATTGGATATTCTGGGAGTCTCAGATGAACTCGGGTAGGAGGATCCCCTATCATTGTTGCTTCTTGTGTTATTAACTTATTATGTATACCCTTCGCAAGTCACTTAATAGGTCATCTTGTCGGGGGTGAATTTATAATCTATGAAGCCAAGGTGGGAAGATCTCTAAATCACACCTGTTAGCTAGTAAAAGCTTTAATTGTGAACCCATTAACATCGTTATGACTCTAGAAAGTGTTTGGACTTTGTCCTTTGTATCAACATGAAAATGTCGGAGCAGATAACTGTTGAGAAAGTCCATAACATGTATGAACTTGCTTTGAACGGAGGATGTAAAGTAGCTAAAGTACCTACTATATAATATCTCGGACTTCCAAGAAGTGGTAAGTTCAAAGAGACTGAGCTATGACCACTAGCTAGAGAAAAGCTTAAGAGTTTAAGAGAAGATTGAAAATGTGGACGATTATGTCTACAGGAGGAAAGTCAATATGACAAAAATAGCACTCTCCAACATTCTTAATACTTCATGTCTTTGTCCATACTCATATTCAGTTCCATTGTTGTAGTTGCTAAACTACTTTGGAGAAATTAATGAGAGATTTCGTGTGCGATGGAATAAGTGAACAAACAAAATATCTTGGTCAGTTGAGAGAGGATTATTAGTGAAGAATAAAAATCGTATATTGTAACTTGATGTTTGGTATGGTGATACTATTGTGAAAGACATATTTCCTCAGGCCCCCATTCTAGACGGGGGAGGCCATGGTTGCTAAAAGCCTAAAATATTCAATAGAATGGAGAATAAAAATTTCATTTTTGATGGAACTCCCTAGAGCGGGGGAGATACATTAGCAAGCTTGAAAACCAACAAATCGGATGCTAGAAGGAAGATATGAAAGACCATCCATTAAATAATTTTCGGCTAATATAGCGAGAGAGGAATATGAGAATTTTCTAAGGAATTTAGACTTGGATACTGAGAGCCCGTTTGGTTGCATGTATAAACTCTTATAATACCTGCATAAAACCCTGCATTTTTTGCTTTGCAACTTACAAGCCTTGAACTCTTGACCTAGTGTTGTGAAGAAAACGACCTCAACCACTATGACAAAGAGTGACCGGTTGCATAAAACCTTGCTTTAGTAATACAGTGTCTGATTGCCTTTCTAAACTTGCATATATTCTAGAAATGTACAATACATTGTGTGGTGGCTGGTTTTGTTTCCCGCATAAGTTATACAGGAATCGATGTATTATTCTATGCTGGATAGAAGGTGGAATTAGAATACATGGATTGAAATAACTAATATGATCAAAATAACCTTCATGTATTAACAATCTTTTAAAATGATACCTTATAATTCATGCATTACCAATCCCTGCATTATAATCCCCATATTACAAATTCCTACATTATAATCCATGCACTATTATTCCCTGCATAACTTTCTGTCTAAACCAGAAGACCCTAAGGGATCGTTTGGTACGCAAAATAAATTATCACGGAATTATAGTCCTGGGATTATAATCCCTAGACTAATTTATCTCACGTGGGAAACGACCCCTAGGAGCATGATCCCCCTCCTAGGTAGTTAGTGAAAAGAAATTCCTTGTATGGATAACTGGCTACATTTTCTTAGTAGCCTAAAGTCTTCTTCTATTAAACTACTTTATTAACTCACATCTTAGTGTATAATATTATAATATTATTTCACTTGTCTATAAAAGATGAGTGGAGTAAGAAGGAAGGATAAGAATGTCTGTGGCCACGAGGATTGGTTTGGTGATTAGATAGAGATTACGATGGTGGGTTGGTGATTATTTGACCTTGGGTCTATGTTTAACAACTTAGCCTTTTTAATTGGTTAATTGTATGGGAAAGTTATATGAATTTTGAGGATCGCTCATTGCTTAAGGTGATGAAGCAATGAAAACAAGGGGTCCTCGGTTCACATGGGTAAAAGGAAGCAACTTCGAAGAAACGTGAACGCTACAGGCGTGGAAGTGATCGTGGTCACGAAAGACAAACGATGCTAGCAAGAGGGTGCTTATGCTGCCTTAAGCGGCAGAACAATACCGTAGCAAGGGGTCCTTATTTCCCATGCGTGAAGCAAAGCAACTTCGGAGAAGCGTGAACTTCGAATTGTTAGGTACAAAAAGGCGCGAGGCAGAAGCGGTTGCCTCTTTGAATTTGACTTTAATTTATTCGAGAAAAGAGAGGAAAATAGGATAGAATAGCCTTTTGCCATGGATTCCTCTCCAGATATGCTTGGTGTCCTTTTTTTTTTCTTCTACGGTTTGCAAAGAACTGGTCTACTATTCTTGCTTTTCTTGATTTGCTTCTTTGTTAGTAGTGTTTTTCTTCTTCAAGATGACTCATTCTTCTTGTTGGGTTGTCTTCTCCTTTTCTTTGCTACTCTCTTGCTGTCAATGATTCATTTTCTCCTTCTCTTATTTGTTTTCTATTTCTTTTTCTATTCTCTAATGCTTCATATATAGGATGAGCGTTAGGACTGGACAATAATAACGTGGGTTTTTGCAACCAAAGCTCATTATTATTAACGTTAACTAAAGCAGGTAAATATGAATAGATATTGCAAATTGATTTTTGTGGCAAATAATTGAAAATTTGAATACAAATTTGTAATTGAGGCTATCTTTTTTGTCAGTTTGTTGAAATTGCATCTTAACATTATTTAACTTGAATTTTGTTTGGAATTCATATTGTCGTATGTTGGATACTGAAAGGGAAATCCTAATTGCAATTTTGATATTACAAGTATAAATTTCTATATGTTAGTAGGTAATTTCTCTGCTTTTGGTAAATTGTGCGCTATATTTCGAAGAAGCATGTGCTTCGAATCTTTCTTCAAACTTGAAGTTTCAAAACTCTTATGCTCTTTTCCGCTTTTCACTTTTGCAACAGTGCTCTTGATAGCTTTAGATTTTATGGTGACTGACTACTTTGGAAAGCAGGTTACCCCTTCCTCTGTTTCACCTCTTTCTTGATAAGTTAAAAAGAGCAAAAACAGAATCTGTAATGAAATACATTTATCAAACATGTTTTAAGCTAACTGCATGTTGAGTGCTTCACTGGAGCTTGTGGTCACTCGTTCCTTGCTTGTTCGAAAGAGCTTCAGATAGGATTTTGCATTACGTTCGGTTTTCCATTCCGACCCTCATTAGCTCTTTGCTTGCTTGTACAAAGCGCGCTCATGCCATTTAGTACCACACTTTATCCCACCTGAGAGGTGGGATAAAATAATACCAAATTTCATGGGATAAGATGGGATATTAAGGATTAAGTCTGGGACTAAGTTTATGCTATGTTTGATTGACAGTATAAAGTTATTGCGGAATAAATTTATACTATTAACCAAATATAATATAAATTTAGTACCACACTTTATCCCACCTTATCCCGCGTACCGAACGACCCCTAAGTAATAAACTTCTTACCATGTTTTTTTGTGTAAGAAAGAAATTCCTTGTATGGATAACTGGCTATATTTTCTTGGTAGCCTAAAGCATTCTTCTATTAAACTTCTTTATTAATTCACATCTTGGTGTATAATATTATAATATTATTTCACTTGTCTATAAAAGATGAGTGGGGTCAGAAGGAAGGATAAGAATGCTTGTGGCCACGAGGATTGGATTGGTGTATAATATTATAATATTATTTCACTTGTCTATAAAAGATGAGAGGGGTCAGAAGGAAGGATAAGAATGCTTGTGGCCACGAGGATTGGATTGGTGATTTGACCTTGGGTCTATGTTTAACAACTGAGCCTTTTTAATTGGTTAATTGTATGGGAAATTTATGTGAATTTTGAGGATCACTCATTGTTTAAGGTGATGAAGCGATGAAAAACAAGGGTCCTCGGTTCACATGGGTAAAAAAGGAAGCAACTTCGAAGAAGTGTGAACGCGACAGGTCTGGAAGCGATCGTGGTCACGAAAGACAAACGATTCTAGCAAGAGGGTGCTTATGCCCCTTGAGCGGCAGAACAATACCGTAGCAAGGGGTCCTAGTTTCCCATGCGTGAAGCAGAGCAGCTTCGGAGAATCATGAGCTTCGAATTGTTAAGTACAAAAAGGCACGAGGCAGAAGCGGTTGCCTCTTTGAATTTGACTTTAAAAGATTCGAGAAAAGAGAGGAAAATAGGATAGAATTGCCTTTTGCCATGGATTCCTCTCCAGATATTCTTGGTGTCCTTTTTATCTTTTTCTTCTTCTATGGTTCACGAAGAACTGGTCTACTATTCTTTGCTTTTCTTGATTTGCTTCTTTGTTAGTAGTGTTTTTCTTCTTCAAGCATTCTTCTTGTTGGGCTTGTCTTCTCCTTTTCTTTTCTACTCTCTTGCTGTCAATGATTCATTTTCTCCTTCTCTTATTGTTTTCAATTTCTTTTTCTATTCTCTAATGCTTCATATATAGGATAAATATTAGGACTGGACAATAATAACATGGTCTTTTGCAACCAAAGCTTATTATTATTAACGTTAAATAAAGCAGCTAAATATGAATAGATACTGCAAATTGATTTTTTTGGTAAATAATTGAAAATTGGAAAACAAATTTGTAATTGAGGCTATCTTTTTCGTCAGTTTGTTGAAATACATCTTAACGATATTTAACTTGAATTTGTTTGGAATTCAAATTGTCATAATGTTGGATACTGAAAGGGAAATCCTAATTGCAATTTTGATATTACAAGTACTAAATTTCTATATGTTAGTAGGTGATGTTTCTGCTTTTGGTAAATTATGCGCTATATTTCGAAGAAGCATGTGCTTCGAATCTTTGCAGTTTCAAAAGTCTTATGCTCTTTTCCACTTTTCACTTTTGCAACAGTGCTCTTGATAGCTTTCGATGTTATGGTGACTGACTACTTTGGAAAGCAGGTTACCCCTTCTTCTGTTTCACCTCTTTCTTGATAAGTTAAATAGAGCAAAAACAGAATCTATAATGAAATACATTTATCGAACATGTTTTAAGCTAACTACATGTTGAGCGCTTCACTGGAGCTTGTGGTCACTCGTTCCTTGCTTGTTCGAAAGAGCTTCAGATTGGATTTTGCATTACGTTCGATTTTCCATTCCGACCCTCATTAGATCTTTGCTTGCTTGTACAAAGAGCACTCATGCCATTGCCTAACAAAACAATTAAGAAATCTGTGTGGGTTTCTCTGCCAAGAACATCACCTTCTCATGTCGATCTTCCATGCGGCCAATTGGACAGTGTCATCTTCATTTAGTTTACTCTTTACTAGGGGATTCAACTTGTCCTATGTTTAATGTTAATCCTTGAGCACTCTTCAATTCCATTCTTAATTTTTGGCCATCCAACATCTCTTTCTTTAATCTTCTTTTGGCACTATGAGGTATCATTAACTTTATGTCCGACCTGTCATTTTTTAAGACTAGAAGTTGATGCTGTTGACTTCAGTGTAATATAGACATAAGACAACCAATTGATTATGTAATGGAAAGAGCAAAATGCGCGGGGTGCATCAAAAGTCTCAGAACAAATGCTGGAATTGTGTTTATATGGTTCAAGGAAGCGTTTAGTTGGGCGCATGTGGGCTCCCAGGCTTGATTGCTTTTTATCTTTTTTTTTCAACCATCAGTCGATCCTTATGATTCTAGGGATTTAGGATAGGAAGAGGGCTAAGCTCAGCTCAAAGATGCTAAATAAGGGCACATTTGACATTGGCATCTTCTTTGCATACTCTTGCATTTAACTACTTAATTGATTTCAATGTTTTCTAAGTTACTTGCAGCATGGAGATAGCAACTTAACATTCTTTTGCTAATGTCTGTTTGTGGTGGTTGTCATGGTTATTGAGTTACTTTTGTTTCATTTCTGATGAGTTGTTCAAGCCACTTGCTCTTTGGTTTCGACTTCATGTGTCATCAGCTGAACTCCGATATGTTGACTGTTTTGACAGGAAGCAGAAAATACCAAGGCTTCCAGAACACCAGAGCATTGTCACTACAACTTGGTGGGCATTTTCCATTTAGAACTGACATCTGTTGAGTGAAATTTTTATAGCGCACTCTTTGCACATCTTACTGGTCCAATAATGTTCTTCCCCATTTGATGCTATCCATAAAACATGTGATAAGAGATTTAAATCAAACTGATAAAACAGCTATGTTGCTGATTAATTGTGCTTTCATTATCAACTATGGCCGTTTGAATTCCCTAAGCACCTGCTTATCTATATGACGGCTGAGGTATATATAACAAGGTCAAAGAATTACCCAAATACACATACCTCAAATGAGATGAAAGTTTTTAAACGCATTAAACTTGAACATGTTCATATTGAACTCACATAGTCAAACTTCTGACTCCGCTCATCAATAAGGGTCTTGCCAGTAGTATCTATCCTCCTAATAATCGAGAACCATAAAATCAGCCAGAAATATGACTTGTTAGTACAGTTAAAATAACACTTGGTTCTTTAAAACGTCTCGAAAGTCAACATGTGGTGAAGCTCCCTAGATCCTTGAGCTTTGGGGGTTCGATCTTCCTATAATTCTACCAAAGCCTGATAGGAGTAGTATTTACTAATATAACATTGTAATTTCATTTTAACAATCCCAAGAAAACCAAGCTAGGGAGGATGAGGAATGGCCTAGTAGTGATGCAAAATTACTCAAGACTGATATATTAATATGGAAGATCAAATCGAAAAGTTAAAAAAAATGGAATTGAGGTACAGATCTATATATCACGTGAGTTGGCCAAGAAGAGTGTTTGATTATCCATTGCTGCGTGGAATCACCTATAGTAATAAGACAAAAGGCCTCAAGTAATAAATACTCTACTGTGCATGGCTTTTGGATTTATTGAAAGCCTTTTTCTGACTGCTCTCTTATTGACTCACCCTAACAGGTTTATGCAGGAATTTCATCATTCCCTTCTTAAACACTCACTCTTTTGCCTTTCCCAATCCCAAAGAAACTCTTCCCTTATCCCCTGTCCTTACTGTGCCATTTTGCTGTGCATTTCAAACATATACTAGTACTATTTTATTTGCTTTATCTGAAATCAAGGATTTAATCCGATTTCATTTCAGGTGTTTGATTGGACAAAAAAAGGATTTTTTTTAAACATCGTATCTTAATCATACTTTTGTGGCTATACAATTGATGTCAATAGAGCAAAATGTCAACTTAAAGTTATCATTTTTAACTATGTAAGCCCCTGTATTTACAATGTAAAATATATTTTACACTATATGTGTAGTTTAACATGTGATATTAAAATCATCATTTTTAATAGAGTACGTGCAAATAAATAATGATCATAAAAATTTATAAGTAATTACCCTTGAATATTGTCAATAAGATATTGCTGAGAGGAATTTTGTATACCCTCTCTTGCTCTTCCTTCTCATAGTTGATCTCAATGGTCCAGAGTCTCTCTGCCTTTTGACCTATTTTCTTTGCTCAGTTCTCTTTTTTATCTTTTATACTTGCAAAATTGACTTCTGTTTTTACTTTTGGCAGTTGACAGGACAAAGTCAACTTGACATGAGACATTGGTTGAATTTCCTTTCTCAATAACAGCCCTATAGTGGCTTCATTTCAAGTCTTCCAATTTTAACTAGACTTCATTATTAAGCAAAAAAAAAAAAAAAAAAAAAGAAAAAGCTTCAATATATAAAAATAACACGGATATGCTCCGTTTTTTTCCCCGAGAAAACATTAACTTTAAAATAGGAGAGCCATTTGTTGAGATGAGCGTAAATTATTTTAATGATTAACAAATATTTTGCTGAAGAACCAGGTTATTTGACGTCTCAAAAGTTGAAGACTGGTTTCTAGAGCAAGTTGATTTGAGCTAGAAAAATGACTCTTCTTAATAAATGAAAAGACACTATTTGTGGGCAACAAGGAAATAATAGTTGAGTGAATTTGTGTTCAATATGAATTAATTAATTATGAAAATACTTGTATGGAAAGGAAGATGCTAAAGGAGTCTTTTAAGAAAAAAATAGAATTTTTTTTAGGATTTATTTCCATAAGAGGTGGCAGATTTATTTTAGGTCTTGAAGTTAAAACTGGAAAAGAATTCGATCAGCGTCGCTCCTGTATAAAGCATCATATTGCTGCCATTGAAGACACACGATATTCACACAGTTTCAAGAAACTATTCAAGGAAAATAGCAATTCATAGCAAAAAATACTTTTAAGGATTCAAGTTGTTCAAGTGAAGAACATGTTCATGAAGACGAAGATGTTGAAGTTATTTAGTCGGTTACGGTTGAGTCAATTATTCTTTACTTGTAACTTATTCTGTTTATTTAGAAGTGAAATTATAGGTAAATAATTCTTGAGAGTTTGTTTAATCACTTTCTAAGTTAGAGTTAGTTTTGAAAGGGGTAGCTACAATTGAGTTGATTGTAGAGGTTAAGGTACTAGAGTTAGTCCATTTGGTTATTCAGTTGTAACCTAAAATCAGAATCCACTACTCAAATGATCACCCAACTATCCAAAATTATAGACTAAAATCACTTTTCTTTCGTTTGTAATAGCAAAATCACTCAATTATTCCTATTGCACACAAATTGTAACTCAACCGGAATTACAAACTTTTCTGTGAAAAAATATGACATGGCAGTCCACATGGACTTTCATACTTTTGAACCAAATAAAATAATTAACCCCAAATAAAACATAGAAAATCCACCCATGCACCCAACCTGACCCGCTAAAAATAAAAATCCAACACTAAATAAAATCAAACGTCAAAATGCATTCATATTGCAAATGCATCTCTCTCTTTTTTTTTTCCTTTTTTGTTTGATGGTTTTACTCTAGTTAATTTTACAAAATAATATTGGGTACGAGGTTAAGGACTAAGGAATAGAGTGACCTGTATTCTTCTTTTTTCTCAATGACATGTATCCTTATTTTCACGGTTTTTCTTTTACTTTTTATAAAACAATGTTACGAGATTAAGGACTAGAGTAAAACCATAAAAAAAGAAGAAGAAAGATAGCATTTTTTTTAATAAGATGAGAGATGCATTTGCAACAGGAATGCATTTTAGCACGCGTTTGATTTTATTTAGTAGGTAGATTTTTATTTTTAGCATGTCCAGTTGAATGTATGGGTGAATTTTTATGTTTGATTGGGTGTTAATTATTTTATGTGGTCTAGAAATATAAAAGTCCATACGGACTGCCACATCATATTTTTCACCGTAAAGTTCGATAATTCTGGTTGAATGATCATTTGTGTGCAATCGGAATAGTTGAGTATCTTTTCGTTACAAACAAAAGAAAAATGACTTTACTCCATAATTGAATAGTTGGGTGATCATCTAAGTAATAGACTCCCAAAAAATTGCTCGTTGAAGTTAGTGAAGTTTGAGGCAAATTCTATGAGGGTAGTGGTGGTTTTACTCTCTTGAAAAGTGAAGTTTTTCACATAAAATTACTGTGTAATATAATTTTTGCACTTCACTTTCTATTTGAAATTACTTAGGTTAAAGAATTATGTTCTTTAACAAGCGAAAATTAGGTAAAACACTGCACATCCCAAAGTAACAATATTTGAACTTATTACATCTTAATTAACTCGTGATCATGAAAAAACTAGGAGATTAGTGTATTATAAATAACAATGAATAAGATTAAGGTGACTGTAGCAATGAAACAAAAATAGGATCCTCCAAAATAATCACCCATATTAAGTTAGCGTTTGGACATAGATTTAATTGAAACTTGAAAAAGAGAGTTTTTGAAGTTGTGTTAAAAAATAATATCTGAAAGTTGTTTGGACATGCATTTTATTTGAAAAAAAAAAAATTAAAATTTTGTGAGTGGAAGAAAAAATTTCACCCAAAAGCCCTAAATCAGATTCTGGAAAGTTTAAAAAAATCAACTTTTTTTAAAAATAATTAATCATATCCATGAACAAACAATATTTTCAAATTATTTTTGAAAAAAAGGTTACTGTAATTTATGGCCAAACAGAGCTTAGCATTACCAAGTATTATCATTATATTTTACTAAAATGAGTCTAATTGAAGAACATATTGATTTTTTTAGTCTTGCCAAATAAAGCTAAAGCAAATTAGGTACGTTTGAGTAGCCAGTGACTTGTGAAATATCTTCCTAGTTTTGGTTTGAATAAATATTTTTATCTCCTCTGTCCAATGGTGGGTGCAACTTCACATAATGGACATAATTAAAACCAAAATAGAGACTTTTTGATTTTCTCTTGTACTTTTGGTGGATACATTTTCACTAACTTTTCCAAAGAGATAACTGTAGCCAACGTTTTTGTATACTCTGACGGAAGTGGGAAAGAACAAAAAGAACTTTCCTTTTCTGAATACATACACATCGAAGAAGAAAGAATATATGGTACTCTTTCGTCTCAACTTATTACATCTAGTATTTGTTCTATGCTACTATATGTGTTTTCAAATTAATTGTTCACTTCTTTAATTAAAATTCAATTTGACTAAATAAATAAAGGGATTTCCTGCACTCTTCCTTTTTGGTTTGTTCTTAAAATATTACTATTATTTTATATGAATTTATTATTTTTATATACCAATAATATAAAAAATTTACACTGTGAGGTAATTATAATGTTGGTGGATATTACCTAAAGTCGAACAGATAATACACATACGTTATGAGTAATTTTTACACTCTCTTCCCCTACCTCCCCGACACTTCAATAATCAAGAATTTTTCTTTCTACTTTTCTAAATTAATTGTTTATTGTTGTAATGCTTCTTTTATACTTGATTATATTATGTTTTGCTATGCTCATAAAAGCTTTTTTTTTTTTTTTTTGACTTGTAACGTATACATTTTTTAATTAATAATTTAGAAATTATATACACTTTCGTTAACTACTAGATTTTTACTTCTGCTTAGTAAAAAGTTAAACACGTTTTTATTTCTTTCTAGAAAATAAAAATATGCTAAAATAGAGAGTAGTTTGTAGGATGAAGATGATATTGTGATTTGAGAAACAATAGTCCGACCAATATTTTAGAACTTTTGAAAACATTAAAACTTGTATCGAAATATAACTTAATTAAAAAATTTGATCACCTAAACTTGTACTACCCTATGTACAATATCTTTAGATGGCAATTTACTTTCAAAAGATGTTATTTCCTCCATTACATTTTATATACTTCATTTTTCCTAATTGATGTGGCACATTTTCCTTTCTAATTTATCAAGAAAGAAGAATGTCATACTTCTTCACTTTTTCTTTAGAAATAATTTAATTTTAAATTTTTTCTTTTATCATTAATAAGATAATATAGTATCTAAGATTTGTTTTAGACAATAGATTTTAAAAATCTTTTCTCCCCCTTAAACACTATTCTCAATCAAATACCGCCATAAAATTTTTGATGGATGAAATAACGATGTTTGATTGATACAAAATTTAAATAAAAAAAGACGTTTACCACATAAAATAGAGTATATAGTATATATCCCTGGTCCACAATAAGTGACCAATTTGTTTTTTTATTTTGGTCCAAAATAAGTGTCCATTTATATAATCAAGACAAAATTTAATTTGTTTTTCCAAAATTACCCTTATGTACGAATCCCTAAAAAGTCTTTCACTCCTCGCATTAATTATGCTGCAACATTTAATTAAGGATAGTTTAGTCATACTAACTATTTTTGTCTAGAATTTAGTATTTTCTTAATGGGTGTGCCCAAAGCAAATTGGTCACTTATTATGGACCGGAGGAGGTAACAACAACAACAACAACAACAACTACCTAGTAAAATCCCACAAAGTGGGGTCTGGGGAGGGTAATGTGTACGCAGACCTTACCCCTACCCCGATAGGGCAGAGAGACTGTTTCTAATAGACCCTCGGCTCAGAAAGACGAAAATAAAACAAGAAAAGACAATTCATTAGTAACTCCAGTAGAAACCGTAATAGTAACAGAAGCATAACAACCAAAAGATAAATGACATGCAATAACAGTAACCAGAATCTAAGGCCCGGGGCTAAGATAAACAACAAGGATAGTGTGGACTCAACATAAACTGCAAGCCATCTAAGCTCAACCCTAATCCAACCCCGCCTCACCCCGAGTATGAAGTAAGGGGAGCTTTACTACCCCCTAACCTACAACCCTAATGCTTGACCTCCAGACCTTTCTATCAAGGGTCATGTCCTCGAAAATCTGCAGTCGTATCATGTCCTGCCTGATCACCTCCACCCAATACTTCTTAAGCCTCCCTCTAGCTCTTCTCGTACCCACCACGGCCAACCGCTCACACCTCCTCACCGGAGCATCAAAACTTCTCCTCCGCACGTGCCCGAACCATCTGAGCCTCGCTTCCCGCATCTTGTCATCCACAGGTGCCACGCCCACCTTTTTCCGAATATCTTCATTCATAATCTTGTCTATCCTAGTGTGCCCGCATATCCACCTCAACATCCTCATCTCTGCTACCTTCGTCCTCTAGATATGGGAGTTTTTAACCGGCCAACACTCTGCCCCATACAACATGGCCGGTCTAACCACAGCTCTATAAAACTTACCTTTGAGTAGTAGTGGCACTTTCTTGTCACACAAGACTCCAGATGCAAGCCTCCATTTCATCCAGCCCGCTCCTATACGGTGAGTGACGTCTTCGTCGATCTCTCCGTCCCCCTGAATTATCGACCCAAGGTACTTGAAGCTATCTTTCTTGGGGATGACCTGTGATCCAAGCATCACGTCCCTGCCTACTTCCCTCGACCGGAGGAGGTAACATACTAAAAATACTCTTATATTTTTTGGTCTTGATCATGTTAGGTCATCATAATATTGCCATATAGTAAATAGGTAGTCGTGGGATTTAGTGATGTGACGAAAATTGGCATATTAAGAGCCCGTTTGAACATAAGAAATTTTTCCCTTTTTTTCAAATTTTTTTTACTTTTTTTCCGAAATCATGATTTGTTCATAAAATTTTTTCAATTTTCACTTGAAGATGCATTCTAGAAATTTTCAAAAATTTGAAAAACTGCAAAAAGCTGTTTTTCAAAATTATCACACACAAAACTTAAAAAATAACCCAAAATTATTCATGAACACAACTCTAAATTTTAAATACCATTTTTTTTCACCTTTTTTTTGGAATTTGCAATTCTTATGTCCAAACGCCAACTAAGATTTTAGAGAGAGAAACTGTAAAAAGGAAGGGAAGAAAAGTCAAAGAAGCAGTAGAGAAGTAGCTTAGCCCAGCAGTTGGTAGTATTTGTATGGTGTAATCATTTCAAGATAGAGAGAGAAAGGAGTATCAGAAACGAACTCGTGATTGCAGAATTAGAGAGGAGAGACTGAATTTACAGAAGAATTTACCCTTTTTTCTTTTCTCGTGATATCTCTGCCTACTCATAATTAATTATACCTACGCCACGTTGTTTCTTTAGACCTAGACACTGCCAACTAAAAAACAGCTCTTTTCAAAGGCCAATACATTATTCTCCTGTTGAAGTTGCATAAGGAAACTTTGCTTTAAGTTTTACTTACAACTTCAGGTGAAAATTAAACTGTAGGATATATAGAGGAGTCTTATGCATAAATATAGAGGTGTTGGAAGTGGAAGAAAGAATTTATAGGAAAATATATAATGGGAAACTGTGAAAGGAATAATGGTGGAGTGAGGCAATATAGAAGATCAAAAGTTCCTCGTTTGAGATGGACACCTCATCTTCATCAATGTTTTCTTCTTGCTATTCAAAAACTTGGAGGCCACGACAGTAAGTTCCTTCCTCTTCCTCTTCATAACTATAATATAGTAATGTTGTTTTTCTAGCCATTTAATTTTTTTGGTTGCCTTTTCTTTTTAATGTTTTTTGATCTGTCTAATTAATGTGTAGAAGCTACACCTAAGCTTGTACTTCAGATGATGGATGTGAGAGGACTTACAATATCTCATGTCAAAAGTCATCTCCAGGTATAAATAGTACTATTTATTCCAAGAATGAACATTCCTTTTCTGTTTTCTAAGTTATTATATATGTGAATGTTCTTATATTATTCATCGTTTATGTATATTTGTACTTGTCGAACAGATGTATAGAAGCATGAAGAGTGATGTCAACTGGCAAGGTAAGATCTCTATGAGTTTGTGGAGAAAAGAAAAACGATTTGATGATCCCACAATGCATACACCTCAACTTTATTTGAAGTTCTTTTTACGATTAAAATCCATAATAAAAAAAAGCTACAGTATATGCCTTTAAATTTGGCATATATATATATATAGTTGTATTTAGAAACAATTGTGTTTTTTGGTTGGTTGACTTTGATTCTGAAGCAGGAGGAGAAAGAAGCAAAGGAAAAGAGTGGGTAGAAGATGATCATTCTCATCATCAACAAGAAGAAGTATACCATTCATGTTGTAACCCCACCATTGAAACATCAGAATCTCCATTCCCAATTTACAATCCTCTGCCCACTAAAAGGTGACCAAAAAAAGGATTTACATTTGTACATAGAAACGTACGGCTTCTTCTTTTCCTTTCATTCTCTTTAGGACCCGTTTATCCCTATATAAATTTTGGGATTACATTTGTTCATTGTTTTTTTTTTATTTTATTGTTGTGGGTATTAGTTAAAATCACGATAAAATTTATGCCTAAATCATGGGATTATTTATCCCATATTGAAGGGGGAATCTATCCTATGACTATAGGATAACCTGGTTTTTAACCAAATGAGCCCTTAAAGTTTTAATTTTTATTTACCTAATTAGATTACTTAGTGGGCGTTTGGACATAAGAATTGTAAAATTTCAAAAAAAGGTGAATTTTTTTTTAAGTGAAAATGGTATTTAAAATTTAGAGTTGTGTTTGGACATGAATATAATTTTGGGTTGTTTTGAAGTTTTGTGAGTGAAAATTTTGAAAAACAGCTTTTTGGAGTATTTCAAATTCTTGAAAATTTCCAAAATGCATCTTCAAGTGAAAATTAGATATTTTATAAACAAACGTTGATTTCGACAAAAAGTGAAAATTTTTTGAAAAAAGGGAAAAATTACTTACGTCCAAACGGGCTCTTAAGGTAATTAAAGTAAAGTTTTCAAAATTAAAAACTCAATAAAATATTAATAACCTGTTATAATAAATTATACTAGTATTTATACATGTATCTTGTCTTTATATATGGAGTATTTGTTTAATGATGAACTGCGATATCTCGATCGGAGACCACAAGTTGTAAACCAAAGAGCCTGCAAAACTGCAGGGACAGACTACGTGAAGCAGTAGCCAATTATCCGTATAGTGGTGATGATTACATGCAGACTAGTATTAATTATACTAAGAAAAGTGGGGTAAATAATGCTGAGAAGAAAGGAATTACTGGTTTCAGATGGCAACAGATTTGTGATACACAAAGAGAAGCAGTAGATCACCTGTCCCATACGGCCTCTTTCTCACTCCATTTTTTTCAGACTTCTAATGCTGCGTTTCAACAATCTCAAGATTTTAAGGTACATTACCCCTCCCATTTTAACTCTACTTCAACCTATGTTTCTTGCCTTATGTTTTATAAGCTTATTAATCTTATTTATTACTCACTACTATGAAGAATTATATTATAGTGTGACCTTCTCTTCTAAAAATTTAACTTGTTATAGGGAGTACATGTTTTATTATGTCTTCCAAATGTATCCCTTCACGTGCGTGTGACCTGATTTTTTTCATTGGCAAAGCACATGAATAATTTTTTTTTGGATAATAAGTTCGAACTTAGACCTTCTACTTCAGAGCCAGATTCAGGATTTGAAGATCGCGGGTACACTTTTTGATTCAATTAAAATTTACTTTGTATATAGGGTGTCTACTATTAATATGTATAACTATTTTCTAAGACATATATATGTATGTATACATGAAATTTTTGCCGAACTTTACGGGTGCCGGTGACCCCTCTACCTATTGCATAGGTCCGCCTCTGTTCTACCTGCTCAAATAGAAGTACGTGCTCATCTAATTTAAAAGTTTAAGGTGTTAGAGAAAAATACACTTTTATAAGTACTTAACTAGATATTCTCTTTATAAACTTTTAGATGAGATGATTACACAGTTCAATAATGTTATAGTTTAGTTGACATGATATTGTAAAATATTTTTTTACAATATCAGTATATATAAGTTGAGCTTTTTTTTTTCTCTTTAACTTGAGCATAAGTTTGTGATTTCCTTTCATTCTTTTTCTATATTAATTTGCCCGCGAATACTTGCGTGAGCATTGACTATATATCTGATACTACTACATATAGAGGTCCTGATTCTTGGTCTTGGGGCACAACTGGCAAGCCCGTAACAGTCTTATTTCTCATGAGGTATTAGGTATATTAAAAAGAAAGCATATACTCTAATACTTCTATGAGTATTCTGACAGAAGTTATATTTCCCTAATCTTCTCTTGGTCAGTACACCGACTGCTTTCTTTTCTACTGTGATTCTTGCCGTTGGTCTTTGCTTTTTCTGTTCAAGTGTGTGTCGATATCATATTTATAATGTGTTGGTCAGTTTTCGACATGAACAAACATGTTGAAGAGGAATTCAATGCTGCAGTATAGTCTTTTTACCTAAATTTCTATATTTTATTTATGGCAAAAACTATGCTTTAATTTGGTCATGTTTTGGGTAAAGAAAATTCCTGATGGTTGGACTTGAAATTCTCTTGACTAAATCCCAAATGGATATTAATGCATTTTGGAGCAGTGGAGTGGAATAGCAACAGCAGTGACTTTATAACAATGGGCCACCTCATTTAAAGAAGTAATGAGTGAAACCTATATGGTACTACTGTACTTTTCTGCTAGGTTACAGATCAAAATACAGCCATTTAATGATACATAACCTTATTTTAGTAGAAACCTTTTGACTGATAATTATATATATCTATAAAAACTGATTTTTGACCAGCATACATAGTATAATTTTTTGTATGCTCAGTGTAATTTTCAGACGAAGGGTGTTCAACTGAATATCTTTCATTCGGCTACGCCACTTTAACATGTGCATTTTTCATAAATTTGATGGATAATTTTGTTATTCAGTTGTCCATGCAAGAGGATGAGAACTGGAAATCATCAAAGAAGCGTAAATTTGAAAGCTTGAGGAATGGAGAAGAAGAAGAAGATAGTTGTAGATTGTCATTGTCTCTCTCATTGCACCATCCTTGTGCTCAAAGAAGCACTACTTCAGCTTCTACAAATGAGGCAATCTCTTCATACTCAGACTGTAACTACTGGAATTCTTCCTCAGAAAAGCATAGTCTCAATCTTGACCTATCTATTGCCTTGTCGTGAGTGAATGAGACTAATTACATGCAGAATCCTCTTTCTCGATTATTAAAGTATTAACTCTAATTAGTTGGTTACATTTTGCTTATTGTCGTTTAAAGTTTCATCAATAATCTCTTAACTTGCATACAAAATAAAATCTCTTAACTTGCAAATTCTACCCTTTTTCATATTTTAGCTTCTTAATTATGCTTACTTTACCACATTTATCTCTTCTTCTTTGTTTTCGGACTTGTAGGCTTCTATCTAGTAACTTGCCAGTTTAATAAGATTCAATTCCACGTCTAATGAAATATACCAATTTAATTCTATGAATAAGTTTGTATATACAATATATTTTCAATGCGTAATTAAATGAAACTTTTAACCAATTTATTACTCGAGGGTAAACTTTTCCAACAATTTGAATCATAAAAATTTATACGAAACCAGGACTTCTGATTTTTAAATCAGAATGAGACGTCATTGTGATATTATAAACATGTATTGATGTTAGTAGACACATTTTTTAAAAAAAGTAGGTCGAATGAAAGTGTATATATGTGGCTGTCAAAAAGCAGAATGAAGCGCATACTAATTACTATATTTAATTAATAGTACTATGTAATTAGTACTCCCTTCGGTCCAAAATAAGTGATTTTTTTGGATGTTTTCACACAGATTAAGAAATTCACCTTTTAGCATTAATTACCAATTGAATTGACCATATTAACCTTTACTATCTCACATAAACACTCCTAACACATATTCCAACACTATTTACTCCAAGGACAATGTAGGAAAAAAATAATTAATTCATTCTTGAAATCTGAAAAAATTACTTATTTTGGACCACAAGAAAAAGGCCAAAAAATCACTTATTTTGGACCGGAGGGAGTAGCATTTATAGATTGACTATTGTTTTAAACTTACTCCCGTTGTCCCAAAATGCTCGACACTTTTAGCTTAGGAGTTAGGATTCAAATTTAATTGAACTTCTTCTAACATTTTAAAATGAATTCTTTTGTCATCTTTAATACGAGAAAATTACAACCCATTTACTCCCCCGTCTCAAATTATCTGTTGTGTATTTCTTTTAAGCGCTCATTAAGAAAACCTTAAATAGGAGGAATTTTTGACTATATTACCCTTATTTATGTCTTAAGATATGGTCTCTATTCATTGAATATTTTACTCTACTTGTGTGCTATCTCCATCTTCAAGAACAACTATACTACTACTAAGGGTAAAATGAGAAAATGATTATGTTTTGAACTTCTAAAATGATAAATAATTTTAGACCACTATTTTTAGAAATTACGACTAATAATTTGAGACGGAGTAAGAGGACTTATTTTGAAAAACTAGGAAGCCAACACATGGCCAAAAGGGGCAAGTACCATAGGAAAGGAAGAAAACATATGCACAAAGAAGTTTGGATATTAATCAAAGAAAGAGAGAACGTTACCTCGAGATTAGAAAAGCTCTAATTAAAACCTTTTAGGTAGATTTGCCCTCAAATACTTGCAATTAGTCAAAAACCAAAGATATATTTTCACATGAAACACCATTTCCAAATTATAGTCTAAGGCCCTACATGAATTATTAGACCTGGTTCTTGGGGATCCAATGGTCTTCTTTTCAAATTTCAACAATTTGGTGAACCATATTTGCTCCATAGAATTCCAACAAGGTAGCAGTACTATCCTACCACACTCGAAAGGGTTGCTTTTATTTTTATAATCAATTAAGTACTCAAGTTTCAAAGATAGTGAAACTTTGCAGTGTGAAATTAACCTACACTTTGGCCAAGTTAGACATTTATCCTCGTAGATAAAACAACAACAATAACAACAATCCACTGTAATCCCGTTAAAATAGCACGGGCTAGCCAGTTTTCGGACTGGTCATTCAAAAATAGCCAACGTTTGCCAAGTCATTGAAAAATAGCCACTATTTTGTTACAACAGAGACCGGTCTAACATAATCTACTGGAGTTCGGTGCACCTGTGTATGAACTTCCAGCATATTATGCTGGACCGGTATACTTGAGGCTCCTGTTAATATACTGGAGTTCCAGTAAACTTTGCTGGAACTCCAAACTCCAGTACAATACATACTGGAGTTCCAGAATATTATGCTGGAGTATTTTTCCGAATTTCGAACAGTGTTTTCGTTCAGATTTATCTTTACATGAAAATTAGCTAAATTTCGATGACTTTTGAAACTGTGGCTATTTTTGAATAACCACTTATAAATTTGGCTATTTTTGAAATTCTCCCTGTAATCCCATAAGTAGGGTCTGGAGAGGGTAGGATGTATGCAGCCTTACCCCAACACTAGAAGAGCAGAGAGACTGTTCTGATAGACCTTCGGCTAAAGAAAGAGGGAAGAACCACTGAAACAAGTAATATCAATACAAGGTATTAGAAAACAAAACCCAAGATAACAAAAGAAAGTATGAAAGAAGTACTAATAGTCAGTAATAACAATACAAGAAATGAAATGATAGCAAACTAAGAGCGTTCGGAAGGCAAGTAACAACAGTACAAAATATGTGGTACTAGCAAACTAAGAATAAAAGAAATACCAAACTAATACTAATACTCTAGTACCTTCTACCCTAATTCTCAACCTTTATACCCCCTACCAAGGGGTAATGTTCTCGATCGGTTAGCTCTAGTTGTGCCATGTCTTGCCTGACCACCCCTTCCCAAGACTTCTTTAGCCTACTTCTACCCTTCCTCTTACCCCCAAGGTCAACTTCTCACACCTCCTGACTGGGACATCTGTGCTTCTCCTTTTAACATGCCCGAACCATCTTAGGTAATACCTTTCTTTATGGAATAATTTCCCTTTATACACTTCTTCTTTTTCAACCCTTTATAAACTTCACATAAGCAAAAAATGTACGTACTAGTTTGGTATGAATTAAACAAAAAGGGTGTAACTCGATGCAAATCACTAATTTCTACGTGTGGTAATATTGCCAAAATATGAGTCTAATTCATTGGTTTTAATTCCAAGTTCTATTTGAATATATGGAACACAACTTACTTTCCTAGTTACTGCAATTAACTATCTGCTCAGAATGTACATTGCCAATACAACACATCAAAAATATTTAAATCTGATAAAGGCCAAATGCATCATTTACTGGTTCATAATAGTGCAGAATCAACTAGCAGCTCCAATCTGGCCATACCCTCAATTGTAGCAACATAACAGCAGGTAATCGACATAAAATTGAAGGTGTGCATCCTGTTTATGGAAATATTTTATCTTTTCTTCCTATTCATCTCTTAAGTATTTGGGACTAAGAAACATTCCTGTTCATAGAGATATTGTTATCTTTTCTTCCCTTTCATCTCTTTTGTATCTGAGACTAAGGCCTTGATGCAGAGCCGAGGCTTTGTACTAACAAGTGTTCGTGGAAGAACCGACACACCAACTATGGCTGTCTTATCAGGTACTCTAGAAAGTGGAAGTACCTCAACAAGCACAGACAGCTGCAAAAGAGAAGCTACATTCAGTATATTAAAAAGATACAGAGGAAGCAAAAAGCTTAGAAATTCTCACTGCAATAAATCATTTGACCTCTGGATCTTTCAAATCCACAGTCGAATCTGGGACAACTTCTTTCACTGCTGCTGCCACGACGCTAAAGCATTTGTTGCGGTCCAACAAAGCAAATACATCAGGATCGCTAGAAGCTTTTCTCAGATTCTTCATCTCAGTCTCCTCAATCCCTCTCCTGTTATACCCAACTGCAAACTATAATGTCATTAGTTTCTACAGGTTATCTTATCTGGTTCGGCCAACATAGAGAGAACTGCTCAAATTCACCGTACTAGTAAAGGAAATGCAGCTACTGGACATAATAGTCATGTAAGAGAACTTGTTTTTTTTTATAAGGTAAGATAAATTTCATTAATAAAGTACCAAGAAGGTACTTCAAAAAGAAAAGGTTACAGCATTGCTTGTTACAATTACACTCCCAAAAAGTCGAGAAATTAAAATACAGAGTCATATTACCATACTACTACTACACCAAAAATTTAAATTCAGTAGGCATCTGTTCTTTACAAAGGAAATATGACGCTTTTGATCTTCAAATCATCTCCTATTCCTCTCCAACCAAATAGTCCAAATGATACAGAGACCATCTTTATCCAATATCCTGCCACCCTCCTCCACCCCTACTACCCTTTAAAACCAAAAACTAAAAATAAAAAAGGAGCAAGGGATAAAAACAGGGGACAACGAAAGTGACGCACTTTGCGTGAACATATTTGACCAATACATTTTGAACTAATACTTTCAACTGAAAAAAGAAAATATTCAACTTGTCATTGGGTTTACTGATAGAGGACATACTGATGATAGTTTATATGAACCAAGATGACTTCTTAGGGCGGCCAACAAAAGAAAAAAAGGCAACGTAAAGCAGAAAAAGAAAGCAACGCGAGTCTTTTGACCCTGAGTGAATGATATTTCTTAAGAAAGCCAAGGTTTACCTTAACAGTATTTCCAGTCTCCTTCTGCCTATTGGTCATAAACTGATCAACGAGCCTAGTCACAATCTTCTTAAGTTCCTTCTCCTCTAAACGGCATGTATCTTGAATTGGTAATATCCGATTGCACCAACTGCATGACATGATTAAAGTCTTAATCATATTAGTTTCTTTGGTATTAGAAATAATCTCCTAGAGTGGTGAATAAGAAGAAAGGACAATCCTCCCTACTATAATGAAAACGATTACGCCAAAGAAACATAATCACGCAATCGCGGGACCATCATGGAGAATTCATCTTCTAGCACAACAGTCAACATGGCCATAGAGGGAGCAAAATGAGTAAATGGATGAAGAAAGGGTAAGCTATCAAGATAATACGTGCAAAATTCCCTAACTCATTACATACAATTTGGCTACCTTTACTGCAGAGATAAGGTTAGAAATCTTAGCATTATGCTTGAAAAATATACCATATCTAACATATTCTTTCAGTAAATCATATAGCAGTATAACTTGCCATCGCGACACCTACACACGAATCATTTATAGAAATAATACAATGGATTGAAAGCGAACCATTACAAATGTTGCAACTCTGCGTAGGTCTCCACAGTTCAGTTCTTATACTTATTTAGGGTAGTTTTTAAACTTGCTTAATTCTCTCATCTGCCAAAATTAGGACATGGTTCCTAATCTTTTTACTATTACAATTTTATTTGGAGCTTTTATTTCCCTTGGGTCAGTTAAGTTTCACGGGTTTCCCTTGGTCAAATAAAGCAGTATAACATATAGATAAAAGCTAAAAGTTTATTGTGAGAGCAATCCAAGAAAGAGAGCAACTCACAGAGGAGACTTCAATATTCCAGATTCTAGGGATTGAAAAATCTGCGAAACGATGTCAACAACTGCTGGGGACTTGCCGAATGGAAATGTAAAGAGAAGCAATCCGCTTCTAGTTAACTTAACAAGTGAGAGAATGTCACTTTTCTCTATAGAAGTACCGGATTCTGCAAGAGGAAACAAAATTGTTTTGACACTATTCCTAGTAAACCATTATGTCCACACAGACATTAAAATGTTGAAGAAGAATTAATACCAGAATTTTCATGCTCATTAACTGCATCTTCTCCTGAAACATTGCTTTCTTTAGTAGCATCTTCCATGCATATTTTCCTTCTCTTAGCATCAGGATTCGAAACAATATACTGAAAGGAAAACAAAAAACCCAACTATTTTTAGTATTCTTTCCAACACAAGGGTCACATGGGTAATCCAAATCTAACTTATAGGTGCAATACAAAATAACATGGATTCTTTAATGCGAAAATAACATCATTTGCATAGAATGAATCAATAAGAAAATTATGTTTTCCATAGCCAGCTTCAAGTCCTCAAGAAAAGTGCATATTACAGCTCCACTGGACAAACAATATAAAAGGTCACTTATCCAGAACTTCTTTTTTTTTTAAAAATAAATAAATAAATTGAGTATACCAAAGAGTAAAATATAACCTTTTCAAGGATAGCTATAGCTTCTTTTGTTGCACTTTTCTCCCTCTCTGAGGAAAAAGTAAAGAATTCTTAGGAAAATAGAGTACCGACTTAAACTATGAGAACCAATAAGCAAGAATAAAAAGAAATAGGAGTAGAAAATAATAGAAGCAAAAGATCCGTATAGGTGCCACTGACTAGTGGGATTAAGGCTTAGTCATGATACTATGCTTATATTAGGGACCAATGTTACTAGAGTCATTTCACTACAACAATAACATACCCAGTGTATTCCCACAGGTGGGTTTTTGGGAGGATAGTCTGCACACAGACCTTTAGGTCTGGAGAGGATAGTATGTGCACAGACCTTACCCCTACCTTGTGAAGGTAGAGAGGTTGTTTCTGGTAGACCCTTGGCTCAATGAAAACAAAATTACAGCAGTTATGACAAAGAGAACTATAGAAAGAGAAACAGTAACAACAACTAGGAGCCATTTCACTATGTTTAGAAATTTGTATACAAGTAACAAACGTAGACAATCTACCGTGTTTATGAAGCCCAAGAATTTTAATGTTGAAATGAAATGGGTCCAAATAAAGCGAAGTGGATAGTGAGGACTCATATGTTACCCCCAACAAGCTTGGGATTGAGGCAATGTAGTAGTAGTAGTAAGATGTGGTAAGAGTGAAAAGAGGGGAAAGCCTCCGCCATGTCCAAATGTTGAATATCAAAAGCATAAGAAGCTTGAAAATGATAAAATTTTAAATAAAAGCTATTCTGCACCCAAAGGTGTGGCCTAACGATCAACGAAGTAGGAGGAATACCATAAGATCTTAAGTTCAAATCAAACGGTGGCAAACAACACTAGCTGATTTCTTCCCATCTGTCTGTGCCTTGGTCGGCTACCTGGTAGTTGTGCTTGTGGAGATAGCAAGTAACCGGTGGAATAGTCGAGGTGCGCCCAAGATGGCATGGACGCCACCGTCACAAAAGAATAACAAACTATTTTGCGTTATGACATGCAATGCTTTTTTGCATTATGACATGCAATGCTTTTTGCATTATGACACGCAATACTATAAATAGCAGCTAAATGATCAAGCAAAGTAATGGAGTTATTCACATTATCCATTATCATAGAAAAGTTCAAAGTACTAGAATAGATTCCTAGCTTTCACTAAAACCCTATCCTTAGCAAAAGCCTTAACTTTTTTAGTTGTAGGGCACTAAAAACACATTCCTTATCTAAATACAGTAGAAACTAAAGCAAAATATAACTGATATTATTAATAGAAACTGGCGAAACAAAGCAGCAGAATAATCTTGAAGCTTTAACATATTCTTTTTCTACCCAAAAGACTGGTATGAGGAGCAGAATAACTCCAAATTTTCAAACTAAGAGCCTTGAACAGTCATGCACATTTCAAAAGTAGTTTTATTTTATTATACACGATGTCCTGAGTTCACGAGTAAAGACAGAAAAGAACTAGCTTCACTATTTGAATGTTGTACGTAGTCTCCAATATACTCTACATAAAAGACCAAAATTAAGAAGGTATTCTTTTTCACTTTCATCTTTTTCTGGTGGAGAACTTATAAACACATTTTTATCTAGTTATCCTATTTCTACCTCTTACCCTCCTATGCTGATATTTCCTACTTGTGGTTATCTACTTATCTTTTTGCTAAGCTCTTTTCTTGTACGGTTCTGTTCTCTATAGCTCAAAACTCATTTCTAACTCCTTCCTATTGATTAATAAACTTCTCAAGAATGAAATGTGCTATATTCTTGTAACCCACTTTTCCCGGCACAGTAGATTCTAGTCCTTCTGTCCTGCTTTATGTATATTGAAGTTTAATCAATACATTTGTCCAGATTTTGATCCAAAATTACTTCCACTGTCCCAAACAGTTGCCCTTGGTGAATAAGATGCTTCGGCTCCAAATTCAAGTTAATTGTGTGAGGTTAAATATTTCAACGTAAACAGATGGATTATGACATATGCAGTAGCAAATATGAAACCCGCCCAGAAAACGTATAATAGGAATGATGCATCAGATTACAAAGAACATTTTAAATCTTTCTCCTTGAGTAGAGTAGCTGATTTTCAATGAACTTCAAACTAATTAGCAAAAGCACGCCAACATAACAGTGTAAATAACAAACTCCAGAAGTAGCTTAACTACCTGAGTTTATGATATTGTAACCTTCTTGCTTTTTCTATATGCTGCCCAGAGCAAACTTTGCACGAAACATTACCCAACTAACATCTGCTTCAGAAAGAAATTTACACTAACTAGCAGAAAAAGGTTCCCTAATGGTGTCCAAATTCCAACAAAAAAATAATACCAAATAATTCTTTTCAAAGTTTAAGCATCTGCTACAAACCAGTAAAAGAAAGAAAATTGGCACACATTTTAGCTAGCAAGCTTACAACTTCTTTTTTTCCAATTACGCGGAGGAATCTACTGAATCTTTATTCAAAAGAACACCATTTGCCACACAATATCCGTTCCCTAGCTTATATACTTGAAAAGCTAAATCAAGTTTCATTCAATTAACTATTCCTCAACCCTAAACTAATCCTAAGTATCCAAATTCGAGCCCGTTTTCATACTAGTACATAAATAGTCAAGAATAAGAGGGGGAAAAACAGATGGAAAAGTGAGCAAAATGTTGAGAGATTAAAGGAGGGAAGTAAGCTGACTGATGGGGCAAGTGATGAGGAAGGCAGAATGGGAATGGCTGAGGAGGGAAGAAGAAGCCTTGTAATCAAAACGAGGGATGCTTATCACTGCTGAGTGCTGTTCCCACGGCTTCATCTCTTCTCCTTCCACTGTTGCTTCTACGATTGTGGTTCCCACTTCCTCCTTGCGTTCATCTTCGGCCATTTTGCTGAGAGAAGAGGAAGGCCTTCCCTTGGGGCTGTCTGCTAGGGGAAAGGTTAAACCCTTTGGACCTAAGGGAAATTGAGAAAATTTTAATTCTGCTGTTTCTTTTCCCAATTGGTAACTAAAAAAGTTTTATACAAATCTTCCGGCCAAAGGAGACCGTGGTGATCCGGCCTGTCCATGAACTCCGCGTATAGCAAGATATTGTGACTATCTCAACTTTGCTATGAAATAAAAATAATTTAGTGAAACATGAACAAAAAATATTGTTAGGAAATAAAAGCAATTTAGAAAAACATGAACAAGAAATGAATATAGAGAAGGAAGGGATTTTCTTCTTCAGTTGTGTGTATTTTTCTATCTATTACAAAGCCTGTATATAGGCATGAAAACTGAAGAATCATTATTGTAAATATGTCATTGAACATGTCATTAAGCATTTGAGAGGAAGATCACGGAGTTACAATCATAACTCCATAAGTATTAGAGTAGTGTGAGTTATGAAACTAACGGAGAAGAGTGGACATCCACCATAATTCAATTTTTCTTATAACACTCCCCTTGGATGTCCATAGATAATGTGCCTCGTTAAAACCATATTAGGAAAAAAACCCTATGGTAAAAAATCCTAGTGAAGGAAAAAGAGTACACATGTTTAGAAATATGCCTTTTGGTTGCCTCGTTAAAAACCTTGCAAGGAAAACCCAGTGGGACAAAACCTTGTAAGGGAAAAAGAGTACAACGCGTATTAACTCCCCTTGATGATAGCATCAATTAACATCATTGAGCCTTCGCATCCCATTCTTATACACTAGTTTCTTGAAGGTTGACATCGGTAGAGATTTGGTGAACAAATCAGCCATATTATCACTTGAACTAATATGTTGCACATTGATATCACCAATATTTTGAAGATCTTGTGTGAAAAATAAGTTTGGTGAATGTGCTTTGTCCTATCTCCTTTTATGAATCCTCCCTTCAATTAGGCTATGCATGTTGCATTGTCTTCATACAAAATTATGGGTAGTTTGTCACGCTTCAAACCGCATTTGTTTCGAATAAGATGTATTATAGACCTCAACCATACACATTCTCGACTTGCTTCATGAATAGCAATGATCTCAGCATGATTAGATGAAGTAGCCACAATTGATTGCTTAGTCGATCGCCAAGATATGATAGTGCCTCTATAACGACCCGAACGGTCGTTTTGAGCTTTTACACTTTGTTCGTCAGTTCCCGGGCATGACTTGACCCGTGTGATGTATTACGACTCATGTAAATCATTGATTTTAGTTTTCAGGGTAATCGGAATGAATTTGGAAGAACAGCTCCCAGTTTGAAGCTTGAAATTCGAAAGGTTTGACCAATATTTGATTTGCTTGTATATGATCTCGGATCGGAATTTTTATGATTTGGTTAGCTCTGTTAGGTGATTTGGGACTTAGGAGCGTGATCGGAATGTGTTTTGGAGGTCCGGTGTAGAATTAGGCTTGAATTGGCGAAAGTTAGTTTTTGGCATTTTTCGGTTGATAGGTGAGATTTTGATATAGGGGTCGGAATGGAATTTCGGAAGTTGCAGTAGCTTCGTTATGTCATTTGGGATGTGTATGCAAAATTTCAGGTCATTCGGACGTGGTTTGGTTGGGTTTTTGATCAAAAGCGAATTCGGAAGATTTTAGAAAGTTTGGCTTGAATCCGATGTGTTTTGGGTGATTGGATGTTGTTTGAGGTGTTTTGATGATTAGAACAAGTTTGAATAAGGTATTAGAATATGTATGTGCTTTTGGTTGAGGTCCCGGGGGCCTCGGGGTGATTTCGGATGGTTAATGGAGAAGTTTGGATTTTTGTTGCAGCTGTTGAATTGCTGCTTCTGGTATTTTTGCACTTGCGGATTGGGGACCGCAGGTGCGGCGCCGCGTGTGCGGTTGGTTAGTCGCAGAAGCGAAATAGGCCTGATGGGCAGAAACCGCAGAAGCGGTTAGAGGGGCCGCATCTGCAATGTCGCAGATGCGGGGATGTGGTCGCAGATGCGATTGTTGGTCAGTAGGTGATTTCCGCAGAAGCGGAGGAAGAACCGTCATGTAAAGCGCGGGTACCCATTGTGATGTGAGATATAGCCCGAGGGGCTGATATGGTTCTGAGATATAGCCCGAGGGGCTGGTATGGTTCTGAGATATAGCCCGAGGGGCTGGTATTGTTCTGAGATATTGCCCGAGGGGCGGATTTGTTGACATTATGCCCGAGGGGCGAACCTTTATGTACTTATCTTTCTTATTTACCTGTCATGTACCTGTTTAATTGTGTAATTGTGCCCGAGGGGCGGATCTTCTATGCTTATCTGTTCTAATTGCTTGCATTCAATTGCTTAACTGTTGAAAAGCCATTTTTGAAGAAGTTTAAACTGAGCTAAGGTGCTTAAGAGATTTCACCGCTTCATTGCTTTCTTACTGGTTTTGTACTACTTCTATACAGCATGTTGATGTACTCTTCGTGATTTCCTATCACTCAGTCTTCATTTATTTTTATTACTCACTGAATTGGAAGTACTCACTTTACTCCTTGCACCTTGTGTGCAGATCCAGGTATTTCTGAACCCTGTAGCGGGTATTGGTTGCTCAGAGGCAGAGTCATCGGAGTTTAGCAAGGTAGCTGCCCGACGTTCGCAGCACTGCTTTTCTACCTCTCGATTTCATTAGATTGTATTTAGTACATTTTTTACTCTAGTTGTATTCGGACCTTAGTAGATGCTCATGACTAGTGACACCCCGGTATCGGGCTGTGTTGGGTTTGTTTTTCCGCAAATTATACTGTTAACTGCTTACGTTTTGAGATTTTACCATGTTAACGACTTAATACTTATTATTTTGCTGCTTAAGATTGGAATGGGAATGTGTCGGCTGGCCTTGACTTCACGAGAGGCGCCATCACGACCGGGTCCGGGTTTAGGGTCGTGACAAGTTGGTATCAGAGCCTAGGTTACATAGGTCTCACGAGTCATGAGCAGGTTTAGTAGAGTCTCGCGGATCGGTACGGAGACGTCTGTGCTTATCCTCGAGAGGCTGCAGAACCTTTAGGAAAAACATCACATTCTTGAATTCTTATCGTGCGTCCTTGATTCAGCTTGAAAAGTAACTCTTGAAATTCCTTCCACGCGTTCGTATGCGCGCATGAGCGCTCAGTATCAGATATGCGTCGATGGCTTGTGATTCCCTGATCGAGGGGCGAGATGTGATCTCTGTGTGTTGATGTTGGGCCAGTTTGGAGGACTTGAGGCCAGATTTTTACCTATAGCTTGAGCCCTGAGTTGTTGATTGCGTGAGCGCGTGTTTCTAGATCTATATGTTCTGTTGTGTCCCTATTAAGGAAGTAATGACTGGATAGTTACGTGATGAGGGTGATGTGACTGCGAGATATGTTTATATGAATCGGATGAGGCGAGAAGGGTATGCTTTGGGGCAGCAAGAACTATTTGGTGTTTGATTTCCTTCGTTATTGGAGGTATAGCCCTGAGTTATGGGCGTGTGAAGAATCTTTTCATGTTTCCTAGTTGGGAGTGAAGTAAATTTCATGTTGCGGTATGAGTTCAGACTTAGGAAGATCAAGCGACTGCGTAATGTTTATGACGGTAGAATGTATACAGAAATGTTAGTTTGAGGCAAAACAGGTGGGTTATCTCATGCGGAGTGTTATGAAGTTGTGTGATCCTTATGTTGTCTGTTTGGAGATCTCATTTACAAGTGAAATATACGTGTTGAAATTCAAATTTTGAGTCGCTCAAGAGAGTGGATATAACTGTTACGAGGGTAAATACGAGATTTGCAGAAGATTTAAAGTACTAGATGGTCGGTGTTTCACGAGTTTATGAAGGATCGAGTTTAATCTCACTATGGTATTATGGCAGTAGTAGAGTATAAGCATTATGAGTTATTGTGTGTGTTTTGATATATGGCTTCGAGCCGAGTGAGGGAGTCTGCTATTGATTAGTTGACTGCACGGTTATGTGCTATGTTGGTTCGAGTTGAGGCGTACGGGTGAATCAGTTATGGCCTACGGAGATTGAGACAGAGAATGGCTCGAGTAAAGGAAAATTCTTGACAAAGGTTATAGTATGCTTCATAGGTGTGTGAGAATCACGGAATGTCTTGAGTTGTTGTTGGTAAAGGATGCTCGGTGCATAGAGCAGGAAGTTGCTTGGTTGTTTTGGAATGAGGTTACATTCTGCGGTGTCGGAGTGCTATTGAGGCACTGGTTGTTCGGTCCGTTTGATCAGGCTAATTGCAGTTTGGGTAGAGTGAATGACTTTCGAGAATGGTTCTAATGTGATCAAGATTGTACATGTAATAATTAGAAAATTTTCAAGTGTATGATTTGGCTAGGAACTGAGGTTTGCGCTGGAGGGTGTCAAGACTTGTGTCATTTCTATATCAATTATGGGATTCTATACATCAGTATTAGGAAGGTAATGGCTTCAGATTCGCAGGAAGTCTTTTCAGGGTAGGTATTTTGAACGTGGTGCTTTTGGGAACATTTAAAAGAGTATTCAGCGGGTTGTGAGCCTTAGACTGTGCAGTATTATGCTTGGGTCTCGTGTGGTGAGTCTGTGTTGAGGAATTATGATGCTATAGCAAGAAGGAGTATCAAGTTGAAGGTGAAATCAGAGGAACTCGGATAGATGGGATCGGATATGGCGTTTCGTGTGCTATATGGAGTTGGAGACTGGGAGTTCTCATAAACAGGTTATGTTGTGGTTGTGGGTCGCGTGTATTGGCACTATGTAGTGACTATCAGGGTTTGGAGACCCGAGTGGATCTTTTGCTGCTTGGTAAGTTAGGATTTGAGGGATATTGGGTATAGACTGGTTGTTTCCTTGTCGTATTATTCTGGACTATTGCGCTAAGGAGACGATGTTGGCTATGCCGAGAATGCCACGGACTGAGTGGCGAAGTTCGACGGATTATGGTCTAGTAGGGTGGTTTTATATTTCGAAGATTCAGCGGATGGCTAGGAAGGACTATTTTTCTTACTTGGGTTTTCGGGATGGATGTCAGTGTAGAGACTCCTACCATTGATTCAGTTTCGGTGATGAGGGATTCTTCCAGATGTGTTTCTTACTGCCGGGCATGTCGCCGGACCGGGTTGTTGATTTTGGTATTGATTTGGTGTCGGGCACCATATCGTATGGCACCGGCAGAGTTAAAGGAGTAGCTTTAGGGTTTCCTTGATAAGGGGTCCGTTGGCAGGCCAATGTGGATGTGTGTTCTAACTTGAGTTGGCTTGGTTGGCTCCGAGTTGTAATGTTGAGGGATATGTTGGTTCGATTGT